AGGTAAAAGAATACCATTCTGTCAAGATAACGATCAACTTTTCTCGTGAAAGCAAGTTATTGGGTAGAGTTAGTTACTTTACCACAGGTACACTTCTCTCAAGGTTAGACATTCAAATTATTTATAGATTTGTATTCAACAAAAGCCACTCACCTAATAATAGTTGCTGAGGTTTAAAATGGACTATTGCTACCAGTATAAAATTCTCTCAGTCTAATTTTAGCTAGAACTCCTTCTAGTTTCTTCCATGAAATATTTCTTGATCTTCACTAGGTACCCTAGTCCAACCTAATACCTATCTCTTCTGAAACTGTATTACTTAATGTTTATAATAACCATTTTGCAATTAGCATAGATTACCATGTTATTATGTAATTTTTCACTTTTGTTTTTCTTGTCTCACCAACTAGATTATAAGCTCCCAGAGGACAAGTATCCTCTGGTAACATTCTTTTTAATTTCCCAAAATATCATCTATCATAGGCTAGGCACAAATTGAATATAGCATACAAAACATTTTATATGCTATGAAATGCTGAGTACGTGTGATCTATATAGCACATACTTAGTAAATATTCTTTGTTTCTTGAAAGGATTTTGTGATGGTAATAAACTTTTAACCTGAGGGAAGTTCTCCCTTGTTAGATCCAAATGTCAATTGTAGGACACTATAGCTATATTATCACCTATTTTATTTTTTTCTACTTTCCAAATATACTTTAGAGGTATTTCAAACTAGACAAGCTCTAATATTTTCAGAGAACAGATATAATACAAAGAATGACAAAAAGGAATAGCTGTCACTGTGGTATCATCGAAATAGTACTGAATCTGGAGTAAGAAAACCTGAGGTCAAATTTCATCTTTCCTGCTTGTTACCAAGATAAATTTAAAGAAGACACTTAAATTCTTGGGGCCTCAGTCTCCTCAGTTGTAAAGTGAGTGGTTTGGATTTAATGACATTTGAGGTCTCTTCCAGTTCTGAATGTATTATTAATCAAAACGGCTGACTGCAATAACAGATGCTTCTGAAATATATATTTTTTTAACTTTTGGGAGAAGTTCTCTAATCAGGATAAATCTGCCCATGAAGAAATCTTTCTGGTACCACACAAGAGATACTTCCAACTTTGGGAGAGCATGAAGGAGACATATGGATTACTACTACAACCTTTTAAATAATATTCTCTATTGAGAATATACTCCTACACCCAATGTGGATTTTAGCCAAAGTGTCTTAACAGGAGGCTATCCAACATATTTACCTCCCCCCCCCACTACTACACACACAAAAAAGTACTCAAAACACTTAGTACTCTGAACAAAGTAGGAAGGAAGCTTGACCAAAGACTGCTTGACAGATGCTTTCTTATGAAACAATGTTCAGGAAAAGGGAAGGGGTTGGTTAGGGAGAAACTCCATTTCCTGACTTCTTTGGTTTCCACAAAGTAAATGAAATTGCTCAGTATTATATGCAAATAATCATACATTTGATTCAACTAACTTTTTAATGGAATTACTCTTTAGAAGGTATAATGGAAAGAGCACTATCCTGAGAAGACTCTTGGATCCTAGTTGGCTGTGTTTCTAAGTAGTTGGATGGTCTAATGTTTGGGTAGTAGAAAGAATATTGAATTTCAGAGACAAAAATTCAAGTCTAGACTCCAATACAAACATATGAAATAACAGATAACCTGGAATAAAATTTTAACCTCATTGGAACACTGTTTCCCCATCTACAAAATAAGGAAGTAAGACTAAATGAATTATTACTACAGGCAAGTCACTCCTCTTTTGGTGTTGAATTAAATAATTTTCCAGGCCTTTTTGACTTAAAATATTCTATTACTTTATAAAGTCATAGAAGGCATGTGACCAATTAATGATCAAGTAGACATTTTCTATACCATATGCATATTTAGGTATTGCCCTATGCTGAATGCTTTTTGATGTTGATGATGGATTTTTCATAGTAGATAACACTCAGTAATGTACTACTACCCACAAAGAGTACTTTGCATTACTGTATGGTATCACCAAAAGCAATGATGAATTATTCTCATATTTATTAGACACCTAACAATTCACTGTAAAGCACTGTGCTAATTTCTGTGGGTGATATTAAAGAGAATGTGGCAAACTCCCTTACTTTAGAGTTTGCAGTCTATTTGTTTAGATAATACATACCCACATGATGAAGCAAATAGTATAAGCTTTGTATTTAACAATGTTATTTGGTATAGCATAGTACAGATGATAAATGACATAGGGAATCAAAGGATAGAGAGAACACTGCCATTTAGGGACATGAGGGATATTTTCATAAAGAATCTGGGATATGTATTGGATTTAATTAATGGATAGGATTGTATGACTGAAAGAGGAATGGGGAGGCTCTCTCTGGTAGGGATAAAAGTTAAGATGTGTCTGTTGGATCACCTTTCAGGTATGCACATTCCACAACAGCTGCTGAATAGTGCCCTGCCTACATGCTCCTTTCTAAGGAATAAAACATATGTACAAAATTGGAAGAATAGAAGGTTATATATTTGGGAGCTAAAAGGATGGTCAGCATGTGAGGGGAACAATAGAGAAATTTGTCAGCCATTAATGACTACAAACTTGAAGTTATTAATAATCAATGCCTTTAGTGAGAACTTATGTAACTGTCATAGAGAGTGATATTGCCATGGGATCTATGGGAGGAAATTTTATGGATTCAAACTCGCTTTAAGGATAAGGCTACAGAGAGAAAGTGAGTGGGTACCAAACAATGGAGTATGATAAGAAGACCAGCTTGATTTCTTAAGAGAAGCAACAGATAAGAAACTGGTCTAGTTTAATAAATGTGCTATATTTATGATACGGTACCTGGAAGAGGAAAAACAATATTATGTTAAGGCAAATTATATGCAAATCCATTTCTATGAGAATACATGATTGAGAAAAATTAACTTTTGTTAGGGTCCCTCTTTACATTATTTTTTATTCAGGTGAATTACAGTTAAAATTAACACTAATGGTAGAGATGATAAGGAGCTCGACTGAGGAATAATTTAAAATTGGAGGTCATAGAGGGATATTAATGCCCACACTAATTATTTCATTTTAGTAAATAAGGGCTATCTTATTTCCTCTCCCATCTCCTCAGATTAAGTCAACAACTAGCAATTCTGTTTGTCTGTTTCCATCCAAAGCATGTGCCTCTCAGAGTACAATGACTCCTCAAAGCTCAGGGCCTAAGGCAGAGTTCTCTGTCATATTCTAGAATAAATTCTGAATGTAAAGACATAATTACATGCACATAATATTTGGATACAAGCAAATTTGTGTATGAATTCAGTACAAGATTAATCAACTTGACCAAATTCTTAATTATTTTCTGTTAAAAATCTGTGACTGGAAAGGCAAAGGCCATGACTTCCATTTTCTTAATTCTCCACATTATCTAGTCCAAAACCAAGCACCTAGGACTGAAAATTTATTTATGGAATTAATGAAAATAGAAAAAATGTTGATAATGTTATAGAATAGCAATCACTATCAAATTCATTATGCTAAAGAATAGCTCTGCTCATGTTACTAACTTGCTTAATAAGCTCTCGTTTTTCCCTATCCCCTGTAGGATACAATATAAGTGTTTCTTTTTTGTCTTGTAAAGCCCTTCACATTTTAACTAATTTTTCAGGCTTACATCACATTATTTTTCCTCACACACTTTATGTTCCAAAAAAGGTGGCCTATTTACTGTTCCCTATTAATAACCCATCTGCCACCTCTATGTACTACATCTGCACTAGTTGATCCTCATGCTGAGGAAGAACACTTAGCTTATGTTTGCCTTTTACAAGTCATACCTCTCTTCAAGGTTCAAATCAAGTAACATTTCTTATAAGGAGTTCTTTCTTGATTCTCCCAGTTTTTCACATTCCCTGTGTTTTCTGTATTTTCCTTATACATATTTTGCATGGATTAATTTGAGTACATCATGTCCTGTCCCTTCCCTCTATTGGAATATAAGTTCTTTAAGGGCAAGGACTCTTAATTTTTCTCTTTATTTTCCCATCCCCTAAATAGAATGCTTGGAACATAGATGGCAATTAGTGTTTGTTGAATGGAACTGACTTGGCAGTTCTGAATACATGCAGTATACATGTCTTCATATGTATATGTGTATATGTGTGTATGTGTGTATATATATATTTGTATAAAAGCAGATTCAACTTTGAATTCAAAACAAGATTGTCCTCTCTAACTAGATGGAAAGTTCTTTGTTCAAATCCGGCCTCAGACACATAACACTTACTAGCTGTGTGACCCTGGGCAAGTCACTTAACCCCTATTGCCTCGCCAAAAAGCAAAAAAAAAAAAAAAAAAGGCAACTGAGATGAAAGAAACATACTTCTTCTTAGTGTCTCTTAACTTTAGGTCTTTTTAAGTCCTGGGTAACATCATAAATGCTCTTTAGCCAGGATCCTGTCTTGTCTAGCCTAAAGTAACTGATGATGATACAACAGATGTCAACTAAAGGTGATGATGCATGTGGAGGTAGTCTTTTTGCCTATGATTTACCAAAGCAAAATTGCTGTCGGAAAGGCCTATTTCAAACACATGACATGGGCCATCCTCCACTAACAAAAATAAACCCTTCAAGAAGGAATGAAATGTTTTGATAGAAGTAATTTCTTCCTCACTTCTTTCCTTCTACTGTTAACTTCAACATAATCAAATGTTGTTTATGCATAAAATTTTAATCCTTTTACAAGCTCATATTTTGATTCAATTTGCATATCATATTTATTTCAAGTCAACATGAAGGGAGACTCAACTAATTTAAGCCATTTTCTTCAGGCCTGGAATCCTTTCAGAAATATTTTGTATTTGGTGACTCGATTATGCCTAATGTGGATAATGCTGGCAGATTAGAATTGTATTTAAAGAAACTCAGACTTTGAACAGTGAGAATGGGAAAGAGGAGGAGGAGAAGAGACAATAATTACCTGTCTTTGATGCTACACAGATCAATGCGTAAATCACTAAAATTCCCCAGGGAACCTTGCTGAACTGAAATGAGGTCCTTAGGCTGGTTATCAATAAAGATGAGCCTCATGCAGCCTTGGAAAGCCTTAATGGGATTTAAACACTGGGAATCGGTGAAATTGTCTGGGCACCCTGTGGGAGACAGAAAAAGATGAAGAAGAATACTGAAATGATCAGTCATTTCTTTGGTGACCTATTGATGGAAGACCTTGAGGTCTAATTATCTGCGATATTTCTAATTCACAGCAGTACACATGCTTTTGTTGTAAATCCTAGCATTTTCAAGGAAGGGGAGAGAAACAGTACAAAGTGGGGTACAATCATGGTGCAGGAAAAAAAATATTTAAAGAATCTCACAGCACTGCCACAAATTTCTCTTTCATTTTATATTTGTTTGTTAAAATTTAAAGAGAGTTATACATTAAACATACATAGAAATATGCATTCTGTCGTGAAAAAAAAATTCTAAATGCTAGCTTTAATTCTGAATTACACTTTCCATGGAAACTGTACTGTAGGGAAGGAATAATTGTAAACATTAGCAGTCTTGGTTTTTAAGAAAGGTATGCATTAAGATGTAACCAAAATTATGAAGTGACATTAAAATGTATGACAACTTTCAAAAGAACTAGGACTATAAATGAATGCCATTATAGTGTTATTAGAGCCCATGAGGATGGTTGAATCTACCTTTTAAAGTTGTTTTACTCACTGTCACCTCCCTCTCTATCAGCTTTCTCTGCCTCCCAATCACCTATGTTCGTATTAGATTCACATGTCAAGGTTGCTACTGACACATTACTATTTTCCTGCTTAGTGCAGGTAAACAATAGCTTAATTATTTGTGTGCATGTGTTAGTCACAGACCCTAGTCTCCATCAATTTAATAGGTTCAGAGCATATGGCAGAACAGTCTTGAAAATGGCAGTAACAAGCCATAAATAATGGCGGATTATTTCAAACACCCCTAATAGATAGGCTCTGCTTTCCTGAAACCCAACAGCTGGTTAATAGCTCATAGCAATACCATAAAATGGAGGAGGATGCTACAGTTTCTAATTGCAGCTACAGAGAGAATTTATATAAGTTGAATATTAGTACCTCAGCTCATTCTTCACCTTTCTTAGAGTTGCAGACTACATGAGGAATAATTGTCCAAACTCTGCAATTCTGAAATGAATCTGAGTTGATGCAGGTACATTCACTATTAAGATCTACCAAAAATAGCACCTATTCAAACTACGGGGAGGCTAAGTGTTTTGCCCACAAGGCAAAGTTATTTTAGTTGTTTTACAATGTAAACTAATTAGAAAGTATCCAATGCCCCCATGAAATATGTTCTAAGAAACCTTGTTCCATCTATACATATATATATATATATATATATATATATATATATATATATATATATATATATATATATATATATATATATATGTATGTATATATATATATACGTATATATATATACACATATATATATATATATATATATATATATATACATATATATATATATATATATATATATATATATATATATATGTGTATATATATATATATAGGGTAAAATTATGGAACCGGTTTTTTGGGATTCCAGATTCTCTCTTCATTTTCTTGGAACCCTTTTTGGGTATCTAGGATCCTTCTAGTCCTTTCTGCCTCCCCTCCTGTCAGGATAGGATCCACATTCAGTAAACCTTACCACGGATTATAAACTATTCTGGGATAAGAATATTAAGGCTTATTTCTAAGTATAGAATGAAACATTTTTCCCCCTGTGTGAAGAATTTTCAGCCTCAGTGAGTAGTTAATACAAATTTGGTTAGGGTAAGTGGTGGAGAGTAGTGTAGGGGAACCATCTTCAGCCTCACTTAAATTACAGTAAGAGATCATCAGTTTGCCTGTTTTGTCTAGACCTAAAATCACACCTTCATTATGCCCTGGTGAACATTGAAACTTAAATAAAATAGGTTTTAGGCATTAGAAAAATAATATATAAATGATACTTAAAATATTTTGATTAATCCCTCTACCAATCTCTGAATTTTTGATTCAACAACGTACACAGTCATGTTTTACTTTGGATAGGGTAACAAAAAACGGCTTCAGCATATCAGCGGTTAAACTGTGTACAATGACAAAGAAAATTGGATCCTATATTAGCCATGGGATTAAAATGCATCTTGTCTTTTAGTATCATTTACAAGTAGGCTATGGATTTTGTTTTGTTTCGTTTGGTCCAGACCTGTCATTTAATTGATGTACAAAACTCACTTCCAGGTTTTATTAATGACAAAACAAATATTAAACTTGAACAATATCAATTTGTAAATTCCATAAATTCTTGTGAAAACCCTATATATGTGTGTGTGTAAAAAGGAGAAATTATTACAAATGCTGCCTAAATGAAGGATGTGGTTGTAGGGTTTAGAAGAATTTCACTTTCTCTATGTTCAAGTTATATATCACATTTGAAGGACATCTCTAGGATGTCAATTATCAGTTCTCACCTCACACAACAGCAGATTGGTAGAAATGTTAATGACTTCAAGAAGACTGTGTTATATATGGCATAGTCAATACTGTGACTTCCTGAGTCATGGTCAAGTTTTTAGCTGAGTTATTTCTTCTGAATATTTGCTGAGCTTGGCTCAGCTAGACAGTATAGCAGACAGAGTATTACACTGGGAATGCAGAAGATATGAATTCAAATTCTGTCTCAGATATTTACTAGCTTTGGGACTCCGGGAAAACCTTTAACTTCTCTTAGTATCAGTTTCTTCATTTGAAAAATGCAAAAACAATAGTAACTACCTCCCACTTGTAAGAATCAAATGAGATTATATGTGTGTGTGTTTAAAAACTCAAGACACTATATGAATGTTGGTCAATATTAGCATCAGGTAATAAGAGCAGCTATTGCTAAATCTACGTTCCAACCTGCTATAGTCTCAGGTGATCTTTATTTTCTCTGGTGAAAAATTATTTGCTATTATTTTGGGGAGAAACAGGGCAAATAAAAATGTGGAAATGAAAGTTGTAATTGTGAAATAAATCCCAAATGCTTGCCTCTCCCTTTGGTTTCTTTCTAGAAGGCTGGGTAACATACCTCCAAAATAGTAGCTGTTCCCAGAGTAAATCTGCAGCCGAGTAGTTTCATGAGCAGCGGATGCTGCATCATTATCCAGTGTCAAAGTAATGCGGTTCCTTCTGGCATTAATGCTAACCGAATGCCACAAGCCATCATTCAGGTTGCTCCCTGGAAAAGAAGTAAGACAGGAGAAAAGGAGGTTGTGACTGAAACTGGGAGGGGTGAAGCAGGAGAGCATATTATTTCTGCCGCTTTATGACATAAATACCTCCTCCTATCTCTGGAAAAGGCCCTGAACATGGAATCAGAAGCCTCGTACTAAATCTGACCTCTGTCACTCAATAGTTGGATGGCCTTGGTTATGTTATTAAAACATTCTGACATTCAGTTTCCTCATCTGTAAAGATGCCATATAAGGTAACTCATAGATGAGATATATGATTATTCATCATTAGTCAAAGATGGGGTCTTTGGCCTCATCATAAGAATGTAGATGATGGGGCAGGGACACTCAGAATGAATTCTAGGCATTTCTGATATTCAACAAGTACAAGTTGTCATTTGTAACTCTTAAATGCATAACAATTTGAATAGATCTGAAGCAGAACCAGGTCTTTCAATCATTCACTTCCTCATAGTGAGTCTTGTGCTCATGTTCAGTGTTAGTAAAGCTAATCTAGTGCCTGAGTTAATAGGCTAAATTTAATGATTTGGGTCATGAAAGATTAAACACAAAGGAATGCTTTGAGGATGAACTGGCAGAAAACCACAGAACAAACCATGGGGCAAGAAACATGGAAACAAGAAAACATGAAGATAAGAAACAGGTACAGTGAGAAATTTTTAAGACAGATGTGTGTATTAAAGAGGAAACTTTAATAATAATTATTATTATGTTTTATTTCAAGTGGATAGAGCACTAGGCTTGGAATCAGGAAGATCCATCATCATAAGTTCAAATTCAGCCTCAGACACTCACTAACTGTGTGACCCTGGGCAAGTTGCTTAACCCTGTTTGCCACAGTTTCCTTATCTATAAAATTACCTAGAGAAGGAAATGGAAATGGCAAACCATTCCAGTAACTTTGCCAAGAAAACCCCAAATAAGATCATAAAGAGTCCAATACAAGTGAAATGACTCTACAACAAAAACAAACAAACAACAATAACAATGAATTAAGAATTCTCTGAAGCCTTGGAAAGCAATCAATGGGAGAGAGGTCTATAGCAATTACTATATTTAGAAAGTCCTGGATACTTCTGCTGATCATGAATCAGGAGAGTCCAGGCTTGTCCAACTATCAATCTCTCTCTGTGTGGCTACTCTATCCACATTTAAAGATAATTTGCTAGGACCTGACCAGAGTCCCCCATTTTCATATTTGTTCATTTCATTTTTAGGCACAAAGCGGAGAAATCCAGAGATGAGTTTAAAGCTTCCTATGGCATAGTCTTGGTATTCCAGTCATATACTTCTTGCTTGTTGTAATAACTGACAAAAGATTTTAACCAGTGAGAAAAGCATGAGATTGTACTTGATTCTTTCTCATCTTTGTATCCCTAGCACCTAGGACATTGCTTTGTACATAGTAAGTAGCATGCTTGTTTGTCTGTTAAATTAAACTGAATACAGACTTCATTTATTAGCAAATATGTTTAAATGTTCAGATTGAAGAGTACTGCATTTGTTGACTCAGAATTCTAATGGATGGGGAAATCAAGGTCTTCTTTAAGTCATTCACATCTACAGAAAACCTAGTTGTGAAAACCAAAGTGCTTTAATCAAGGTACCACAATCCACTCTGTGGCACAATCCAACCCTGATAGCACACAAAGTGGCAAGAAAAAAAAATTCTCAGTTCTTTGAGTACTGCTCTTGTAAATCTAGACCTCTAAAATTGTTACAATATTCAAAAATAACAGTATGTATCTTCCCCCTCTTACCAATCTTAAGCCAAATGCAGTAGAAAAGCCTATTTTTGCTCTGTTAATCGAATCTGTTATTGAATTTTTCCTTTAGGGCAAAATTAGGAAGGAAAAGTGATACTACTAAAGGTACATTATGTGAAAAATCACTTGGAAAGCTTCTGGTTTGCTTTTCAGTAGATGAAACATTATACAAAGTGATATAAAAAAGCATCATTTTCCAAGTATTAAAACCATCTCATAGAGATAAATGAAATTGTCAAATTTGGCAGTCAAATTGTAACTTAGGAAATCATCAAGGGACATGCACAGCTGCCAGATTCTGATTCTCCACTCACAACAAGAATGTTGTAACAAATGCTTGGTGTTTTTATTGTTCTCCTATGTTATCCCAAACCAAGCCAACTTTGGTCATATTTAATGTAATATACAGGGTGAAATGGTGATATCATCTGATCAGAACACATGTTTCATACTGCATATCACATTTTAGGAAGGCCTATGATAACTTAAAGGGTAGCTAAAGGAGGGTGACCAAAATGGTGAAGAAACTCAAACCATATCATATTAACATTGACAAAAGTGACTGCAGACATTTAGCCTGGAGAAGAGATGGTTTAGGAGACTAAGATTATTATCCTCAACTACATGGAGGGTTGTTCCATGGAACATGGTTTTGACTTCTTTTAGTTGGTCCCTAAGGAGAAGGAAAAATTCTGTCCTTGGACCAATGTATAAAATTGAAGGACTGATGATTCTGGCCCATTATTAGATCAAAACAAAATAAAACAAAATTAAAAAAAGACAAAATAAAACCAAAAAAAATCACTTCTTAACAATTAAAAACACCTATATTGTCTCATCAAGAAGTGAATACCTGGACTAGAGTTTGGTGAAAACTGGATGCCTCATTATGCTGCCAAGGGAACGTATGTTCAAGAAGAGATCTAACCAATCTTTAAGGTGCATTCGAATACAGAAATTCTATATTTTGCTATCTCTACTACATATGTGTTTATATTTTGAATGATTGATCTTTGCCTTTAATATTAAATATCTCATGTTTTGCTGATCTACTTAAAACTTCCATTGATCAATGACGATAATATTTGTTTTCGAATATAACCAATTCTATTTTCCATTTAGATTCTATTTGGAGCATGAAATGACTGCTTTTATGAGCTGCCTGAGTGTCATCATTTTAACTTTAAATCATCATTTGCACTTTTAAGGCAGGGAGGATGCCACTGGGGCTGCAATGCCCAAGGTATGAACTTTCTCCATTCATTTCCAAGTTGCACAGGGAACCTTCAATGAATTTTATAACATGTTTCCATTCTTTAAATCATTTCAGTATATATAGATGTGTATGTGTGTGTGTGTGTGTGTGTGTGTGTGTGTGTGTGTGTGTATTTTCCTTTGGGAGATTTAAGGGGGAAATTTATTTGGCAATTTGAAGGCAAAAGGTGAGTACCCATAGGGTAAGGTAGGATACTGAATTACTATCCTATTTTCTGTACTTGAGGGATCATGTTGATCTCCTTTATAAAAAAAAATACTAATGTGATGATTAAATTCAGATAAAATGACTTAACTCTTATAAAATGGGGAAATGGACCTTTACATGTCCACAGAAAGCTCCAAGACCTGGCTCAAAATTCACCTCCTCAAGGATCTGTGATTAAATATGTGCTAGCCTGATCATATTTTTTGCCCTTCAGTGAGCCCTCAGAAAAGTGTTTCCCATGTCTATATTTTCTCCCCAACTAAAGAGGCTCCTAATATAATTATCATCAGATACCTTATTGTAGATACTTTATTGTATTTGTGTGTAGGTAAGTGTAAGAGTCAATTATATTTCCCAATCCTTTCCAACTTCAGCCAGAACTATGTCTTTGTTCTAATAAATTACTGATGGTCCAGGAGACAGAATCATATAATCTCAAAGAGGGAATGGTGTTCAGAGACCATCTTATTCTAATCTTAGAATGTCTAATATTGTCTTTTTTATAAAATTGTTGATAAGTGTTCACCCACACTATGTTTGAGAATTTGAAAAGAGGAATCCCACTGCCATCAAAGACAACATCTTACTCATTCAGACAATTCTAATTTCTAGGTTGGTTGGTTGATTGGTTTGTTTTTCCTTTTACATTCAGCAGGTATATTTCTCTCTGTAACTTCCAATTATTTCTCTGAGGCTTTAAGGGTCATGCAAAAAAAATCTAGGGAATCTCATTCAAAAGAGAGATTATAATACCTGAAGACAACGGGATCAATAAAGATGTACTCCCTAAGTCTTCACATCTTCAGGCAAAATATTTACAGGCTCTTCAATTGGGCTTGGCATGCTAAGAAATGCAGGTCTTTCACAGACATGGACCAGTTGGTTAGTATTCTAACTAAAATGTAGAGGCCAGGGCTGAAGAAAATACACAAAATGTGGTTTCACTAGGCAAAAATTCAAAGTTACTATCACTACCATTCTTCTGCTTAGTCTGTCTCCCTTAATGAAGTATAAAGTGACATTGTTATTGCAGTTTCCATGACATAGGGCTAATAGCTCCAGGCATTGTCTCTGACTGTCCCCCAAGCCTGCCATGCTTTCCCTCCTCACATCTGCCCCTCAGTTTCTCTGGCTTCCTTCAAGGGTTTCAAATAATATTCCATATTTAGCAGGAACCATTTCCCAATTCTTCCTAATTCTAGTGCCTTCTCTCTCTCTTAATTATTTCCTATTTATCCTGTATATAGCTTTTTGGTACAAATTTGTTTGCTTGTTTTCTCCCCCTTTAGACTATGATGTCCTGAAATTTAGGAAATATATTTTGTATCAGTACATAGATAGATAGATAGATAGATAGATAGATAGATAGATAGATAGATAGATAGACAGACATAAATCTATATAGCCCCTTATAACTTAAGTCCCTCCTGTCTTTCCAGTTTTCTTATTCCTCACCTCTTACTCTGTAACATGTATTCTTCCACCCAGTGACTCTGGCCTCCTGTTTGTTCCATGAATAAGACACTCCATTTCCCAGCTCTAGGATTTTTTTTTCTGGCTGTCCCATGTCTAGATCACTCTCCCTCCTCTGTTCTCAATATTGACCACCCTGGTTTCCTCGAAGTCCCCAATAAAATCCCAAATACAACAGAAAACTTTGCCCAATCCCTCTTCATTGCAGTGCCTTCCCTATGTTAATTATTTACTACTTATTATATTTGTGTAGATATATATG